AGTCGACCATGGTTCGAGCCCAATACCTGGTGGCGGGCGGAAGACCACACTGGGTGTGTGTGCATGCGTGCCCCAATTCCAAGAGCAGAATGGAGGAGAGGGGACTGTGGTGTGGCCACCCCCAGAGGATGTCCCTCTCTTGCACATGCCCTACAGTAACCTGAATAAAAAAAAAAAAGAAAAGAAAAAAAAGATAAACTGAGACCAAGAGACGTGCCCACAGCCCGAGTCAGCAGGTGGCAGAGACGGGTGAGGCCCACCGATGGCATCTAGAGGGCGGCAAACAGACTCCTGAGGCTCAGGACCGGCTTTCCAGGCTGGGCTGATGAGTGGAGATCAAACAGAACTTCTTTTTTTTTTTTTTAAAGAGAGATTACAGGGTGTGTGTGCTCGCTGGAGAGAGAGACGGAAAGTGAGAAATCTCCCCCGGGGGAATGGCCATGCCACAATCCCTTCTCCACTCTCCTCTTGGGATTTGGGCATGCACACACACACACACACCCGGCATGAATTTCAAGCTGCTGGGTCTGGGATTTGAACCACGGTCAGCCATGTGGGAGTCCAGTGACATAACCATTATACCATCTGCTGGTCCCAAATACAGAAATTTAAAAAAATAAACATGTATGACAAAGTATGGGTGGCATCCCTAGTCACCTCAATACACAAACCCCTAAAGAAGACCCAAACCAACCTCCCTCTGGATGACTACCTCACAACCCTCTTTGGCAGAAGCCAGGTTCCAAGACGGAGCCATCATTACTCCTATTCGGGGCCTAATAATGCTGTCAGCTTCCAAGACGGAGCCCTCGTAACTCCTACCCGGGGCCTCATAATGCTGTCAGCTCTGCGGCAGGAAAGGGTTTCCAGACGAGACGTGTGTGGGCAACAGGATGCTCTAATTATTGATGCTTTCGCTTCTGGTGCCTGGCACCTGTCTGCATGGTTGCTGCTACACACACAGAGCTGGTGTGGGATCCTGCCAGGTCCCAGCCTGGCGCTCCGGGTCTAGGCACACAGGCTGAGGCCGCCCCGAGCCTGCTCCTCCTGGGGCTCCTCGCCCAGGCCTGCTCCCTTCTCTGCCAGTTCTGCCCGCTGTTCTCTCTCGCTTACAGATCCGACCTGCGCCTCTGAGGCCGACCTGCCTCCTCCTTCCAGGCCTGAAGCGAAGCCAGGTTACCTTCAGCTTACTTCAGAGCACACACAGTCGACTATGAGTGCTGGCCCCGCGAGGAGCACGGAGGTGTGGGTGATCACGGCCTCTTAGCGTGTCCGCGTGTGCACAATGGCACACAGGCTCTTGATCAACCATCAATTTCCCAGGAATAAGAATGCAGTAAAACACACAAACATGAGAACGATACTGAAGAGACTTTAATCTTTTTTTGATGATTTAGAAGGCTGGGAGCACTTCAGGGTCAGGATGCTGAGCATCAATCACCACCACCCCGCAGCTGCACAGAGGGGCTGGTAAACAGAGCACCAGTTAAGGGGATGCCAAGGAGAGAGGATTTATGATCACCTTAGTCAAGCTGCTCGCGACGGATGGAGGTCTGGGTCAGCACGTTCTGAGGACAGAAGACGGAACTGGAAAATTCGACTGGGGCTGCCTTCGTTCTAGCAAATGTCGTACATGCCCGTAACGTACTAAACATTAGGGACACAGAGACCAGATGGAGTCCGTCCCTGCCCTCGGGGAACCTGCAGCGGCGACACCAAGCTGCCGGCATCGCCCTCGTCCTTTTCGACCTCGTCTTCATACTAGGGGGATCCTGCTAAAAATGCAACCTGCTCTCCTGCTGTCTAACTTCCTCAATGGCTCCCAATGTCCCCATGATAAAGGCTCAGCTCTTCCATGAGCCAGCTTTTCCCGACAGATTTAATTTCACCTCTTACCATCCTCTGACCCCAACACTGACAGTCTAATTCTATATAAACCACGCTGACCTCCTGACCCTCCCTACTCTTATTATCTCACTGAGATATCACCACCTCTGAGAAGCCCTCATTGCTTTTTATTTATTTATTTATTTATTTATTTATTTATTTAGGTTTTTATCATGGGTGCATGCACTCACTGGAGAGAGACAGAGACAGAGAGAGGGAAAGTAAAAAAAAATCACCCCTCCCCCCCAGGGAGATGGCCATGCCCTAATCCCTCCTTCTCTGTCTCTTCTTGGGATTCTGGGCATGCAAGCACATGAGCCTGGCATGATTTTCAAGCCGCTAGGTCTGGGACTTGAAACATGGTCGGCCGCGTGGGAGTCCAGGGCCCTACCACGGCACCATCTGGTGACCCCGAGGTCCCCTTTCCTGTCATTTCTATGCACCTTGTCTACATCTGTGCTCCTGTCACAATAGAGTGAGTCTGTTCGCATCCGTCTCTGTGCAAACGTAAGCGTCATGAGGATGGGAACCCTGTTCATCTGTGCATCTCTGGACAGCCCCGAAAACTGTTGGTGCTGGGTTAATG